TGCATTGGCAAATTCCCCATAGAAACAAAGAGTGGAACAAAAGAATAATAAAGGCACCTCAACTTTTCCTCATGTATGTAGGACAGTCTTATAATATGCATCCAGACATCCTCCAATCACACAAGCTGAAAACTGTTCCACTTTACTGCAGTTCTGTAACCATATGGGAACCAATCCTGTCTGTGTCTGTGCACATCCAAAATTCCTGCTGAATGACCCGCCCTGGGAGCGAGTTACCAGTGACCCAGGGCTGGGGCGGCAGGAGGGTGCAGTTGGGGGGGGTGGGGGGTGGGGGGGCAGGAGAGAGAGAGAAAGACTAGGGCGGGGGAGGGGGGGGCCGCCAAATTTTTTTTTTGCTTGGGGCAGCAAAAAACCTAGAGCCGGCCCTGCTGAGAACTAACCGGCTCATCAGAGAGCAACCCAGGCGGTGGGAAAGGCTCCACAAGGAGACCCCGCACACACCCTGCTCGGCCAGGGGAGCGGGGCAGTGTGCTTCCATCACCAGTGAAACGAGTTTGCCGGGTTTAGCCAAGCGCCACCAGACAGCTCCCTGACCCACTCCCTTGGCTGGGAGACGCGGACACGCCGTTGGCGTGGGTCACCCTGGAGCCGACAGGACAGACACGCCCTGGCCCAGCTGGGGCCCATCCGTCACCGTGTGAGTACACAGGCCCGACAGCCCCTTGGCTTCAGGGAATGTGTCCTCCAGGTGCAGAGACCAAACCCGGCCACCAGGAACGAGGGGGGGTGGGAGCAGTGCTTGCGCCCGCGCGGGAGGAAGGGAAGGGGAAAGGACCCAGAGAGCGAGAAGGGCCGCAGCCAACAGCCCCTGAGATAAAAACCTGAGCACAGGGTCCTTCTGCAGTGCCACTGTCAGCCCTGAGAGGCCCCAGCTGCAGGCCACGGTCTCAGGGCGACAGCCGTCAGCGAGCAAGGACCTTTCACCCTGCAACTCTGCAGCCCGAGCAATCAACACACGGAGGGTGTGGGCCAGCCCACCAAAGACGCAGGCACCTCCTGGGAATGCCAAGCCATGACAGAGCAATGAGAGTCCACTGGGCTCCCCCCTCCCCTGTAACCATAGGAACACCGAATCCCAGTACCGGCTCCCAGTCCCTTACCGTCCGTGAAGGGCTCCCACTGGTAGAGGCGGCCCATGAACTCCTGGGTGTTGAAGGCAGCGCACTGCACGGCTCGGGCGTCGGGCTGGTCGGCTGGGCACGGCTGGAAGGGAAAGGAGGCTGAGATGCGGCTGAATATGGCGCTAGGAGACGCCAAGCAGATCTCCACACTGCTTCCCATCGTGGGGGCACGTGTTGCTATATCAGTGCCCATCACCAGCGTGAGATACAAATACCCTGGGATCTGAAATGCAGCTGCCTCTGGGGTGGGGCATGGCAGGTCTTTACCCGCCACACAGCAATGCTGCACAGAGATCACTTGTGCACTGCTGAAATGCGGTGGGGGTGGGAGTGGGAGAGCAGCACCTGGTTAAGAGCCATGTAGCAACACTGTAACAGAGGTTGCTTACCCAGTGCCAAAATGCAGCCACCTCTGGGGTGGGCCATGGCAGCTGTTCATCAGGAATTGCTCATGCGATGCTCATCATCCTTTCTTTCTCCTCCCCAGCATCCGTCCTCTCCTCTTCTCCTACCCCATTCCTTCCACTCTCTGCCCATCCCCTTTCCCCCTTACTGCTTAGCCACCCCCCACCCCACAATCTTTCAATGGAAGGGATCAATCCCTTGAGTCAGCAAAGCCCTAGAGGCCCCAGCTGGGGGGAAAGATGCTATGGGCTGTGAATGCACTTTCTTTGCCAGAAAGGGGGAGCCATCGCACTGGGAGCTTGCCCTCCTCGGGCACCTCCCCTGTGAAGATCTCCAGGTGTTTGGAAAACGTTCCTGGAATTGCACTTGGTGAGGCAGGAGAGGGCTGTCCCGTTATATGGGGGGAAACTGAGGCAAAGAGAAGGGACACGACTAGCCCGGGGCCACAGAGAGAACCAGTGAAACAGAACCCAGGACTCCTGCCTCCCAGTCACCTGCTCTAACCATCCAACCACACTCCCTGCTCAGCCCCCTTCCCTGCTCTAACCACTGGAACGCACTCCCCTCACAGAGCAAACCAGATGTCCTGGCTCCCTCCCCTTAACTGCATGACCTCAAGTCACCAGACAATGGGGCCCCTAAATAACTTCTTCCCAACAGCCCCTGTAACTCTCCCAGCATGCTCTGGGCCCCTCCAGCCCTGCATGGCTATTTACAGGAGCGAGTTCCCGCCAGCCAATGGGGGAGGTTTGGCCGGCATTGTATAAACGAGCGGGACGGGTGATTTATAAGCCCTGCACTCTCGGAGCACGGCGGCGGGGCTCGTCTGGAACCGGCTGGGCCTGACATTTGTGTATTTTTTCACTGTTTATTAAACCAAAGAAAAAAGGACAAATTGGCAGGAAAAACCCCATTAGCAACTGAATCGCTTGTCGTCTGCCTTTCCAGCTCAGACGCTCTCAGCCCCGCCAGCGGCCACTTCCCTAGATGGACTTGAATCCTTTTACTGCTAAATGGACGCAGGCCCCACAAGATAGTTTGGTCCTGCTGGCTAAAGTGGAGGAGGACGGAGTCAGGACTCCTGGGTTCTTTTCCCGATGGGCTGGGTGACCTTGGGCAAGTCACTTCCCCTCTCGCCTGTAAGATGGGGTGGCTAATACTGTAATAAAGTGGGTGGGGGTGTGTACCCAGCACTGCCCTCTCCTGGAGGAAAGCAGAGCTGATCACCTGTGTGTCTTATGCCCTATACTGCTGGTGGAGAATGGAGAGTCTCCTGTTGGGGGTTTGAAGCATGGGGTTCTAAGTTCTAGTCCCACCAGGGGGAGGCATCCAGCGCTCCTGTAGGGAAAGCAGAGGCCCTTACCTCCTGCCTGCAGGCTTTGAACTGCTTGCTCTCCCCCTCGCAGTGGAACGTCTCTGTGCCAGGGTGGTAGAGATTCCACTGGGGCACCTCGGGGCCTGGGTGCAGGCCCAGACTGGGCCTTTGCCCCCTGGCCTGGAACTGGACGGGATTGCCGCGGTGGAGCAGCCAGATGTCCGGTTCTGCCAGCCGGTGAGGTGAGGGCTGTTCCACAAAGAGGCTCTGGGAGGCCCGGGTACCATAGCTGCCCGGGCGGTACTCGTTCTGTCTCTGAGCACGGGGCCGGGCCAACTGGTGGGGATGGGAGCGTGCGGGGGGGTCAGCAGGGCCTGCTCCCTCTGGCTGGGCCAGGTGGGTGGCCTCAGGCCCGGGCTTTGGTGCTCCTGTGGCCCGATGGTGGGAGTGGGGATGGGGGTGGCCGAGTTCTGGTGCCCCCTTTTGGCCACCCCCTGCCCCGTGTCCCTTGGGCGCCAGCTGCGCCTCCACGGTGGAGCTGTGGTTCTTCAGCACCTCGTGCGTGAGGCGCAGCTCCCCCCGTGGCCGAGGGGCATGGCCGCTGCTCGGGTCCCTCTCTCCCGTGGGTGTCCCAGGGCGGGAAGGCTGCTGGATACCCCTTGTGCCGTCCCCGGGCCCGTCTCCTCCTCCTCGCTTGGCGGGCGCCTGCGCTCCCGCCCTCAGGCGCGACTCCTGCGAACCCGTCTCCTCCACAGCCGTTGGCTCTCCCCCGCCGGGCCCTACGGTGGCCGCCGGAGCCCAAGCAACAAACAGGGACGGCTGCTCCGTGGGAGAGGGGCCCAGCTGGGGAGTGCCCTCCCTGGTGCGATGCCGGGCCCCTTGCAGCTCTGGGGATGCTGCTGCTGGCTCCCGATTCTCTCCAGGACTCGCCTCGTCCTCCGAAGGGCCTGTGTGGGACTTGGCTGTGGCCTCGGCCTTCAGTGGCCCAGCGCTGCCCTGCTCGGCCGTGTGGGGCTGGCGGTGTGGAGCAGGCCCCTCTCCCTCACTTCTGGGCCTCGCCCTATGCCCTGCCAGCTCTGAGCTGTTCTCTGCCAGCGCTCCAGCCTGGAGCTGGGGCTGCGCGGAGTCCTCCGCCGGCATGGCCTTCCTCTGCTTGTGGTGCGGATGGTGCTCGCCTTTGGCCGGCGGCTCCTTCTCCCGGCTGGGGGCTTCCTTGGCCTTGCGCTTGGGAGTCTTGGTGGGTGGCGGTGGCTGGTCGCTCGGGGGCCCTGGGTGTCTCTTGAACCGTGGCGTGCCCCCCTCCGCCACTTCCTTGTGCAGCGGCAGCGCGAAGGGCACCTTCCCGTAGCCATATTTCCCCGGTTTGATCGACTCTCGAATTCGAGACCTGCAACGAGGGGGGGAACGTGTTGTTACAGGCCCTGCGTAAACAGAGCAAAGGGGAAGCCAGAGACCTGAGTGCGCCTACTGAGTGGCTTCAGAATGGCACGCCTTGTGTCATGAGCCCTGTACTGCACACAGCTCAAGGGGATTCTCCCATAGTTTAGCAGGGGTGGGGGTAGGCTTCTGGACTGGGAGGATCTGCGCTCTCTCCCTGATGTTGCCAGGGGGCATTCCAGGTGCCGTGGAGTATTCCAGGTGACGCCCAACACTGCTTCCTAGCTAGTATGCGCTGAGAGAGCAGGCTTGGCAGCCCCCGGGAGGAAGGAGGGTGCAGTGGTTAGAGCTAAGGCCTGGGACTAAGCCGATCTAGGTTCAGTTCCTACTTCTGCCTCTAACCCTCTGTGTGACCTTGGGCCAGTCCCCATCTGTGCCTCTGTGCCTCGGTTTCCCCATCTGCCCAATGGAGCTAACAGCCCTGCCTCGTGGAGGGGCTGGGAGGCAAAGTGCATTCGAGGTGCCCCAACAGCCTGGTGATGAGGCCAGGCAGCGTGTGAGGATCAGCTGACCCCTTTCAGTTTCTGAGTGGATTTAGCCCTGGGGGCCGTTGCCGGACGGGCGGCCCTGAGTGGACAAGGACAGTGATGGGGCCCGCACCCCACCGTGCAGACACGGGTGGTTTGGTCTCCATGCCCAGATCCAAGGTATTTTGGCGCTTATGGAAGTTAGGATCCGAGCTTGCCAGCTGGGAGTGCGGCTTCAGAGCAGAGACCAGGGCAGTAGGAACAGTGCCGGGATCCCCGCACTCCAGTCACAGACTGGAGGACAAATGGCACCTACCCAACGGCCCGAGCCAGCCGGTTCCCTCTCCCCCGCCCAGGTCGCGAGCCCAGGCTGTGCCGCAGGGGACCCTGGCTCTCACCTCCTGGCGGCGCGGGACTCCTGCGTTGGGGACGCTGCCCACTTGGACCCGAGAGCAGCGTGTCGGGAGCTGCCGGCTGCGCCGCCCGCCTCGTGGCTGCCCCGCCGCTCGGGTTTGAAGAGCGGGAGTGACTCCTGGGCGGGCAGCCGCGCCGGGGCCGAGCTGCGGCGTCTGAAGGGCCTTTCCGGGCTGGAGGTGGCGGGAGCGTCCGGGTGGCGCAGCCGACGTGAAGAGTGGGCCAGGCCGCGGCTGGAAGCGCCTGCTTTGCCGGACGGGTCCTCTTCCCGCCTTGGGGCTCTGGGGGCGAGGGCTGGGTCCCTCCCGCGGCTGGAGTGCGTGGAGGAGGCATCCCGCAGCGGGGACAAAGGCAGCTGCTCGGAGGGGAAGGACTCGTGGCGGATGTACCTGTTCGGGGGCCCGTAGCGGGCGGGAGGGGGGGCTGCCCGGGTGTGGCTGGAGCCGCTGTGGAGGGGGAGGGCAGAGTCGCTGTGGAGGGGGAAGGCAGGCCCCGGTGGGGAGAGAGGCGCCCCCGATTCCCCATCAGTGTGAAGGGGGTAGGATGACCGTGGTGGGTAAGGATTGGCCCGTTCCTGTGGGTACAGGGGCTGGGCGTACGTGTGTGGGCTGTGAGGGCCCCCCCAGGGGGCTTGCTGATAGGGGGGCAGGCAGGTGCGGACCCTTTCCAAGACCCCCACCCCACAGGGCTGGGAGCAGGATGACCACGGGCTCCAGCTGCTCCAGGCACCCGCCACTTGGTTTCCAGCTCCGTCCTCCTCAGGCACCTGCCGGGACGTCCGCTGAGGGACCTGCAAGGGCACAAGGAGACGGCCTGGTCATTGGGGGGCTCCCTCAGGAGGGGCCTGTCCCCAGCTCCAGGCCGAGGTGACGCTGCCGCACCAGCTGGGGTCTCACATCCTCCAGTTGGCCATGGCCCTTAACAGCAGGGGACATCCACTCCACTGGCGTGGGCTCAGCCCCCCACCTCCACACCGTGAGCATCTGACCAGGGGCCTCACCCCCTCGACACAGCTTAACGCCTGACCCAGCAGCCAGGGCTCAGGGGTGGCATTGGGTGCCCAAGGGGCAGCTTTGGCCCAGGTCTCTGGGGCTGGGACAGACGGAAAGATCTGGGCAGGTAGAGCCTTCTGGATCCGGCCGCAGGAGGGTTGGTACCTGGGAAGAGCCCGGAGCAGGGGGGAGAGAAGCCAAAAGACGGGGCTGAAGGGAAGCGGGCTGGGTTGAGGGGCACAGACTTGCCCAGGCAGCATTTCCCTTTGTGTCCCTGCTGCTTAACGCAGGGCCCTTCCCCGTACCCCCCACCTCAGCTGGCCTGGTGCCTCAGACAGAGGGACGATCCCACGCCAGGCGGGGCGGGCCCAGCTGTGGGGAGCAGGCTGGGGAGTTTATCGCTGCCCAGCTGTTCTCGCCTCCTCGCTACAACATCCCAAAGGCCCCTGGCCTGGAGGGCTCATCGTTAGCCAAAAAAGGAAATTAAGAAAACGAACGTGCTCACCGATTGCCAAACTATTTGGCCTGGTTCAGGAGTGCCTTGGAGACAGACAGTGCTTGGCTGGATTTTAACGATGGCACAGGTACCGTGGGGCGGGCTGTTAAACCCACTCGGTGCAAAGCAGAGCTCTGCCGCTGCCCCCCTCAAACGTTCCTCCCGCACCCCACAGTTTGGGGACCTCTGCTCTAGTGCCTCGGATCCAGCCAGCCAGCCTGGCTGCAGCCCGCTAGCTTCACTGGGGGGCTATGTTTTTTTTTTATAGCTCCTTCATCGAAAGGATGGAAGGCGATTCCTCTAAGCCTCAGCATCTCCAGGGGAAGCATCAGTGACCCCCGGCGCTGGGTAGAGTGCTTTTCATCAGGAGATCTCAAAGCACAGTGCAGAGCAGGATCTTACCACCATTTGACAGATGGGGAAACTGAGGCAGAGCAAGGAGAGGTCAGGGGTAGAACCCGGGTCTCCTGAGTCCTACTCTACTACTCGGCAACACAGGTCCTAGGCTGAGAACTAGCAACTCATTCCATGCAGGCCAACAGCAAACAGCTCCAGATGGGCGTAATGACTGTCCCCCTGTAATGCCCCAGGCTGCATTCAAACCAGTAATCTAGAGCCCCGCCACACAACCTCCTCCCACAAGCCCTTCCAGGCCCCCGTGTCCGCATCAGAAATTTCCCACGTTTTTCTTTTCATTTCCAGGGACGCTGGAAAGCACCAGCACCCAGGCCGGGAGTTCCCCACCAGGGACCCAGCCGCCCTGCGCCCGGCACTTTCATCTGCCCCCTCCCGGGCCGGAGAAGCAGTGGAGGTGGGCGGAGGGAAAGAGATTTCAAAAGGTTTGGGGCCCCCTCTCCTTCCTCCCCAAGAACAACGGCACCTCGAGGAATGACACAGTCAGGCTGAGAGCTGAGGGCCAAGTCTGCTGCTGGCGTCGATCTGGAGCGAAGCCGGTTTACGCCCGCTGGGGCTCTGTCCCATGTTGCCTCGGAGCCTTTCCAGCACTCGGAAGCGTAGCTGCCAATACAGCCCCGCTGCCCCTTCACACAAGGACACTGGGCAGCTGCTTCCAGCGCTCCAGTCCCAGCTCTGTCACTGACCTGTTGGGTGACTGTGGCTGGCTGTCGTGCCTCAGTTTCCCCTTTGGCTGTGAGCAAGAGGGCAGGGACCGTCTCACACTCTGCAGTGCCCAGTTGGGGCCTTTCGGTGCTACCGCAATCCTGTGGCCTAGTAGGCAAAGCACTGGCCTGGCACGCAGGTTCTAGGCCAAGCACTGCTCGCGGGGTGACCTGGGGCAAGTCACGGCCCCGGGCCGTGCCCTGGTTTCCCCAGCTGTAAAAAGTGGGGAATCATCCCGGCCCCTTTTGCAAAGCGCTTTGAGATCTGCTGGTGAGACGAGCTAGGGCTCGTTTTATCGGATTATTAATCAGCTCTTCTCTGGGTTGCTTCTGCATGCGAGGCCTTGGCTGACTTCGGGGCTTGGGAACAAGATAGGGAGCCTTTCGCCTCCAGTGACAGCCGAACGCTGGGACCATGTGTGAAGGAGATGGCTGCATCGGGGTGCTTACAGGCCGGATGACAGCCAACTGTTGAGTGACACCCAGATTCCCGGCTCCACTGTCCCCAAGCCTCGGCCGCACACCCCTAGCAGCAGGGCCCGCCGCTCCAAATCCCAAACTCCCCCAGCCGAGGGCCTGATCCTCCGACTGCTGGCGCCTTGTGCGGCCGTGTGCCCAAGCGGGCGAAGAACGCCAGCTGATCACAACGGCTGCGTGTGGCGCTCCCTGACTGCACAACACGCAGGGCAAAGGGCAAACGTCAGCTCACGACTTGGCTTTTGCTCGGGGGCCTCTGGTTCCTAAGGACGCTGGCGCAGGAAGGGCTGGGGGGGCCGGGGACTGCTCGGCGGAGCCAGGGAAAGCTCCGTTTTGCAACACACGGCCGGGTTACCAACGCTGCCCCGGATAAACACACCAGAACCACTGGGAATAGAACCCAGGAGTCCTGACTCCTCACCCACCTTCTTTTAACAGAGAGACCCCACAGCCCACCCCGGCTTCCCCCTCAGCCCAGACAGCAGCTGCTTTCCACGGGCTGTAAACTCCTAACGCGGACAAGATGCTGCTCCTGCCCCCGCCAGCGCTTGCTGCAACATACCAAGGCCGCGGGGAGGACACTCCGCACTGGCTCGGCTCTTTGGGAATTTCCTCGATGACGGTGGTTCGGAAGCTCCCCTCCCCCTCAGCATCCCGCTTCTCATGGACTTTGCCCGTGATGCGACGCTGTGTTTTCACACACGTCGCCCCTGCCCCGGCCTCTCCCCCAGCCCCCAGGCAGCCCTGACATGCAGGCTGCCCGCAGAGCCCCCCAGGGGGAGAATCTGGCGAAAGGAAGAGGCCTTTTGCCCGGAGAACCTGCCCATCTCGCTCACTTGGTGCGCTCCTGCCCCTGTTCGGTGCCCACGGCGTACGCAAATCCCAGGGCAGAAACTGGCGCGAAGTTTAAGCCTCTTTCTCCCACTTGTTTCTGTACCTTCCTCTGCTACTGGTTAACCCAGGGCCTGATCTTTACTTGTTCCTCCAGGGATGGGATCGGGGGGAGGCGGGGAGGGACTCTGACCCTTAGACTATACTCCCCTTCCAGCATCAGGAATGGAACCCAGGTGTCCGGACTCCCAGCACCCCTCCTACTCTGACCACTAGACCCCATCTCCCCCAACTCCCAGCTGGGAATAGAACCAAGGAGTCCTGACTCCTCACCCACCTTCTTTTAACAGATAGACCCCACTCCCCACCCACAGCTGAGAACAGAACCCAGGAGTCCTGACCCCGGAGGCCCCTCCCGCCCCCCAGCTGCTCTGGCAACACTGTGACTTTCCACTACACTTGTGATCCCTGCACACAGGGCCTTGCCTGGCCCTCGGTGTAATTTAGAGCAGCCCTGAGGTTGCTCTAACTCATGGTCTGCTTCTCACAGCCTCATATGGGCCGGGGGAAGCAGAGACTAGCCAGAGCACAATGTGCTCGAGCAACGTCCCAGATCCACCCCCTATGCGGGGGCTGGGAGCAGGGCGAGTGCCAGATCTTACGCCAGGGGTGGACCCGGGATGAGGGCTTTCTCAGGGGAATGTCTCCTGCCTGAATAGGATAAAGGAGCCTCAGCGTCATTGAAAACCAGGCCCCAGGAGGTTATCCCTGCTCCACCATTCCAACTTGCTCCTGCTTTGGCTGATCTTTAGCCACCTCTGGGGCAGAACATGGCAGCTGTTTAACAGCCCACAGCAACACCCCAGGCAATGTAGTGCTGGAGTACAACATACCCAGCCCCAAGGGAGGTTTATGGAGGGAGAACACCATCTACCTCCAGTTGGGACTGGCCAGTACAACACCCCAAAAAGCACCAGGAGATTGTGAGTGACCAGGTGCAGCCAGCACGCTTGGCGTCACCCCCACAGAAGAGAGAGCGCCCCCTAGGGGGCACCTCCCCAGTGCTTTCCAGGAGAAAGGTCTCCAGGTCACCAACCCTGCCTAGCGTACCAGCCCGGCTCCAGGGGAGGGGGCCAGGGTCTATCCCCGTTAGCCCTGCGGGGCCAGCCCGGCTCCGGGGGAGGGGGCCAGGGTCTATCCCCGTTAGCCCTGCGGGGCCAGCCCGGCTCCGGGGGAGGGGGCCGGGGTCTATCCCTGTTAGCCCTGCAGGGCCAGCCCGGCTCTGGGGGAGGGGGCCAGGGTCTACTCCCATTAGCCCAGCAGCAGACCCCAAGCGGGATGCCCCAGCCAGGTTCCCTGATGCTCTTTAGCTGGTGATGAGGCCTGTGACTCCAGGAGGTGGCGATGCACATTGGGGCTGGCGAGATCACTCGTGCAGGGGCTCTGTGTTTCCCAAGCCGCCCCCCTCCCCATCCTGCCCCCCTGCCCAGCTGTAAGGTCCTTGGTCTGGTGACTCACCTTCCTGCTGCCTTGGCAGAGCTGGGCCGTCAGCAGGGCCAGACCCAGGGCCAGTCCAGCCACGCAAAGCCTGGAGAGAAAACCAGAGACGCTGCCATTAGCAAGAGGCGGTGCCCACCCTGCTGCTCCAATGCCCTGCTCCCTTCGGTCTCCGTTAACCCCTCGCTCTCCTGGGCAGCCCCCCTTTATCCCAGCACCTCCCAGCTGCTAATGTTCAGTGGCCGTTCCACACGCAAATCCAGGAGGAGGAGAGGTGCCCAGATCTGCTCTTCACGGTAACACAGGGGTGTCTACCCGCTCCCCCTTCCTCCCCCCGGGGCTGGCCACCTCCTCCATGCATCTCTGCTATTGGCCTGGGTCATCTGTTGTACAGATTTTACCCAAACCAATCGCAGCGATGCTTTCTTGCCTTGTGGCTAGGAGCCCCTGTTCCTCCACCAGCGCCAACGCCCCAGCGCTCAACAGCAACCCTACAATAACAAAGCAGACTAGAGGATCACAACGGTCCCTATTGGCCTTGGAGTTTGGGAAACCATAAAAGCAAAGCATCCCGCCCCAGCAACCCTACCATAATAAACCTGCGCATGCTGCCCCTGTACTCACCGGCTACCCTCCAACAACAAGTCTGTATAGGCAGCCCCAACGCCCGGAGCAACCGGAAAACAACAAACCGGTATGCCCACGAGCAACCCTACGATAACAAACCCATCGAGGGCTCCAGCATTCGAAGCGGCACTCGGAAAAGCACCTCCAACTCAGTAACAGTTTGGCGACAATTTTGTGTCGCTGACAGCCTGGGCTGGATTTGAACCCGGAGCCTCGAGCCACCTCCCATTCCCAAGCCGCCTGGGGGAGGCGGGGTTCAAACCGGTATCCGCGTAGCAAACAGCTCCCTACCCCAATCCCACCACGCTCCTTGACCAGTACTAGAGACGAACCGGCACCCTGGAGATGAAAAGGTCCCGTAATCCCAATTCCCGGGGGCATCACTGCTGAATAGTTCAAAGCGGGGGGAAGGCAAAGTTTGCTTTCCTAATGACCACATCCAAAGTCACCCTGGAGCATACAGACCTACGAATAATCTGGAGGGGGGCCCAAACCAAGACCAGCAAAGACCTCCCCTTGCCCATGCACCCCGGAACTATCTCAACTGGGGCTCCCATTTGAACCAGTGACCTAGTTATACCCCATTGCTGCCTCCTGAGTCATCCACTCTCCTCCCGGACGATGAGTTCACATAAATTGGCCACGCATCTTCTCTCTCTCTCTCTTTTTCTCTCCTCCAAACAGCAAAATAGCAACTCGTCATCTTTCTGACCCGCTCGTCCCTGCTCAAAGCCCCCCCCCCCCCCGCCTCTCCGGGAAGAGCCCCCTCGCTCCTTTCAGCACGAAAACGCGAAGCAGAACTGCTCGTGAACCCTGAGTCAGCCGGGGGCGGCTGCAGCGTTAACATAATAGAGCGAGGGCCAGTCTGGACAGCACATCTTCGCCCAGGGGTTGCGGGAGGGGGCCGCAGCTCCAGTGCAGTGAGGGGGGAGCTGCCCCAGTGCCCGTCTCTGGCTGGCTGGACGTTACAAAGCCAACCACTCCTCCCAAGAGAGCGGGAGTGCACCGTGCCCTCAGGGCTAGCGCGCCAGAAGACCCGTCTTCTATTCCCAACTCCACTGCCACATGACCTTGGGCAAGTCACAGCCCTGTTCCGTGACTCAGTTTCCCCCCTCTTTAAAATGGGACTAAGGTTATCACCCTCCTTTGCAAAGCACTTGGAGATCTCTGGACATAAAATACAGGCGAGGCATCATCACGGTGACTAGACGAAAGACCGGGTGGGGGGAAGCTAGCCGAGAACACGGGCAATTGAACGGTAAATCAGTGCCCGTTCTTCCAAGACCCCTGCTCCTTGACAGCACCCTCAGCCCGTGTCTCGGCCCCATGGACAGCAGGATGAGTGGTACATCCGCCCCACAGCGGCAAGGCTCCGGCACCGCAGCTGTAGCACCGTAGTCTAGACTATCCCACCAGCGAGGGAAGAGGTTTTCTCCCACCTCTTTGAGAGGCTGGAGCTGGGTCAATGGAGGAATCCTTCTGTCGACCCAGCGGTGTCTGCCCCGGGGGCTAGGCCGGGGTCCGTGGAGAGGCCATCCCCAGCGAAAACCTGGGAGAAGCAGCGTCAGGGAGGCGACGATCAGTCACCTACCAGGGCGGCGATGGGAGATCTAGGGCTAGGGCCCCTCCCAGCCTATTATTTGGGGTCTGGAATTCCTGACCCTTTTATGGACTCGCCAGAGGACCCACCAGCCCTGCCAGGACCAGAGGGGGGATCCAGCGCCCGGGGTGACTCAAGCGGGGCGGTCGCAGCACGCAGGCTGGGTTTAAGGGGCGGCGGGCAAAGGATCGTGCGGTTTCACACCCAGGTGGCACAAATGGCACCGGGGAGGCAGCAAACACATCGAGGGGATGTCAAGAGCGGCCAGCTGCACGGGTGACTGGAGAGTAAACCCGGGCTGGGCCAGGCCACGTCACCCGTCAGGGGCCCTCACCGAGCTCTCGGCCAGCGTCTGGAGGAATGCCGACGGGGGCGTGTGACTCCTGCTGCAGCCAAGGGAGGGCTGGACACAGCCCCAGCGCCCTGCCCATGGTGTCTGGCCCGGAGCTGCCCCTGCCTGGGAAATGCGGGGCGAGACCCCCGATCCTCCGCACACCCGACCACGGGAGCCGGCCGAGGCCCCAGGGGTTAACCAGCTGGAGAGGGTACATCTTCCACAACCTTCCTTCAGCCAGCAGCCTGGGAAAGCCAGCCCTGCTCCGCCAGGCCAACAGGCCAAGGGCACGGGATATTTTCAGACTGGAGGAACATGGCCAGTGGCCACAGGCAGCACTGGGGGAAAAGTCACCATCCAAAGGAGACCGGAAAAATTCTGCCCAAAGGGAATCCAACCCCCCCGTCCAAGGTCTCTGATGGCGGACGAAACCAGCGCAGACATTCCAGGAGGAGTTGCACATCCGCCCACCGAGCCGAGTTCAAGGCTCCGTCTTTCCCCCGGCGAGAGCTGGCGGCAGCGCGGGGGCCCTGAAGGCAGCCCAGGGAGCTGAGGCGGTTGCGTTGCTCGATTGTTCGGGGAAGCATCCGCAGCCAGAGCCCAGCAAATGTGGGATCCAGAGGTCAGGGTGCTGGGTTGAAATCAGTCTGATCAAGGAGTGATTCCGATGCCAATGAAATGGATTCAAGGCAACGTTTTCAAAAGCACCTAAGGGTACGTCTACACTGCAAAGGAAAACCTCCGAGCCCAAGTCAAGTAACTCATGCTCGTGGGGCTCACACTGCATGGCTAAAAACACCAGTGTAGACGCTCCGGCCTGGGCTCCGAGTTCGTTCCCTCTCACTGGGCTTCAGAGCCCGGGTTCCAGCCCAAACGGGAGTGTCTACACTGCTATTGTTAGCCCTGCTCAAGTCAATTGATCCAGGCTCTGAGATTCAGTGCCACAGGTTTTTCTTTGCAGTGTAGATGTAACCTCACTGATTTAGGAGTTTAAATACCAATGTAAAGTAGGCTCCTAAATCACTTTAGGCACTCTTGACATTTTAGCTCTAAAACTCATCTTAAAATATCCTGCGATTCTAATTACAGTTCAGATTAAGATTCAGATCAAATTTATTAAAACCCTGATTCAAATTATTAAATTCAAATGAAGATGAAGGGCTGGCCCTGCAAACTCTTAACTTTACTGTCTCGTTCATTTCCGTGGGAATGCCCACGTGCATCAAACGAAGCTCGTGTGTAAATGTCTACAGGATCAGGGCCTAAAATCCAATTCCAGAGTAAAATTCAGATTACATTTATTCAAAGTAAAATTCAAACGAGATGTATTCGAACTAAGGGTACGTCTATACTTACCCGCTGGTTCGGCGGCAAGCAATCGATCTTCTGGGATCGATTTATCGCGTCTTGTCTAGACGCGATAAATCGATCCCGGAAGTGCTCGCCGTCAACGCTGGTAGTCCTGCTCCGCGAGAGGAGTACGCGGAGTCGACGGGGGAGCCTGCCTGCCACATGTGGACCCGCAGTAAGTACCTTGTATTTCGAACTAAGATACTTTGACTTCAGCTACGTTATTCACGTAGCTGAAGTTGCGTATCTTAGTTCGAACTGGGGGGTTAGTGTGGACCAGCCCTAAGACTAAGAACCAAGTTCTGATTCCAGTAACGATTCATTTTAAATGTATTCCAATTAAGATGCAGGATTCAAATGCGATTCATTCAGATTCAAATGAAGATGTGTGGTTTTGATTACCGGATCCTAGCTTCTAAAGCCAGACGGGACCACTGTGATCCTTCGTCTGCCCTCCCATACAACATAAGCCAGAGAATTGCCCTGAATTAAATCCGGTTTGAACTCGAGCATGGATTTTAGAACAACATCCAATTTTAAAATTGCCAGGGCTGGTGAATGCACCTCCACCCTTGGGGAATGTATTCATGTTCAGATTAAAAGTTTGGATTTGGAGTAGATTCAGATTCTAATTCTGATTCAGATTAAAGTCTTAAATTCAGAGCCTCAGATTGACTTCCTGGGGCTCTCATCCCAACCGAACCGTCCCCTTTATCCCCCCCTCATTCAGCTTCGTGCAATGGTCTCTGGCAGTGAATTGGTGGCAAAGCCCAGATCCCAGCCGGAAGCCGGGTGCGAGCCAAGAGGGCTGAAGGTTGCTGGTCTTTCCAAGCGCTGTCGACACAGATGAACTCTCTCGTGCTCTGTGTTTATTATTGTTTCCCCCGGCGTGGACGGGAAGCTGCAGGCGTGTCGAGCCGTGGTCTGAAAGGTCGGCTTGTTCGAGAGAGCTCCGAGGAGCCGCTCCACCGCCTCGGCAGGGTTGGAATTAAGTAGCCACGGCCCTTGGCCCTGATCTCCCCTGGAGAGGGCACCTTCTTCAGCGTCTCATCTGCTCCCAGCCTGAGAAGCACCCTGGGCCCACCCTCGAGCCTCAATGTGGAGCCGAGATCTCTGCCTCTCAGAGCCCGAACTGCAAACGGTTCACGTGTCCCAAATGGCTGATGATGTCGGATCGCGACATGCCTCCCTTCATGACGCACCGACTCCTGGTCCCGTAGCAGGACTCCTACTAGAAAGTCAACGCCAGAACATTTCCCGTGTACCTCCACTCCGCGCTCAGGCACCAGCCCTTCCGCTGCTGCTCACACGACCCTGCAATCCAGCTGCTCCTGGGTTAAACAGCTCAGGATGGTAGCACAGGGTCTAAGCAGAACTCATCCAATTAGCTAGAAGAATCTGGTCTCTGAGAAAGAGGAAACACGGTTGCAACTTGCGTTCTGCAGCTGTCTAATTAAATGCACGCTGGACGCAGAAGCCTGCAGGCTTCTGTTCCGCCGCCTGGATGCTGAGGGGAAAAAGAGGAGGCCTGATTCTCTTCTCTATTACACTAGTTTAAATCCACATTGGGCCAGATCCATAGCTGGTGTAAACTGGTGCAGCTCCACTGATGTCCATGAAGCTGCAGCCAATATACATCCGCTGAGAATCTGATCTACTGACAATGGTGTCACTCTGGATTTACCCCAGTTTAAGTGTGAACAGAGTCAGAGATGGACGTCGGCTCGCAGAAACTCCCTGGGTCTCATTCTCCGCTGCCCGGCAGCCTGAGCTGTCATTTACACCCGGGCAGATTCAGAGTGAGCAGAGATCTACTGAGGATCTGGTCCCAGTTCTGCTAGCCATCCTGGCGAGAGCTGGGCGCTCCAGGCTGTCAGGGGAAGTTTCACGACATTTCCCAGTAACGTGACGGGAGCTAGCGGAGAAGGAATGTGGGCAAGGAAGGCCACATCCCAAGCTAGGAGGCCAGCGGACACTATCTGGGTTGCCATCTGAGCACCAGGAGACATTGTGGAGCCGACCAGCCTAGCTTGGGGCAGCATCAGGCCTTACAGGAGCAGGCGCTGAGCATGGAGCTCGCCAGCGAGCAGGTCCCCGCGTGCAGTGCGGTGCTCAATCTCGACCTGACACGGAGCGTGGGATGCTGGGCGTCGTAGCTCCCCGTGGGCGCAGTCTCTTAGTTCTAGCTTAATCCGCGGCCCCTCCATGGGCCCCTCTGCTCCGAGCAATGCCGGAGGCATGGCTGCCCATTTCATCTCGCAGGGACGTGCGTTGTGCTGGGCACCGGGGGCTCGGGGCAGGGAAGCTCCCACATCCCTGATGCAGAAGTGAGCTGAATTCGCTTCACCCCCGCGCTGGTCGCTGATGGTCCCTTTTCGGTGCATTTTGTGTCCTTGCCACGGCAACAATGCGAATATATTGGTGCGGGCCGGTCTCCTTTCACGTCCCCATCCCGTTCTAGAACTGATGCCACCACAGGTCACCAGCAAAATCAAACCTAGGAGGTGCAGCACAGTCTTACGCTATAGCAGCAACTCCACTAGCTAGCAACAGTAGCGGGCTTTTATCCTTTAGCTGCACCAGCCCCCAGAGGGAGAGACGGGGGCACGTACCCAGTCTTTTAGGCTGCCCCTACATAATAGGACACTATCCCCAAAACTGTTTGCCAAGCCACCTCACTTCCAATTCCCTCATAAAACTCACTCCCCCTGCAAACCTTATGAGAAGTGAGATTTAAAGGCGAGCCACCACCGTATGTCCATGCCCTAGAGCCAGTCCAGAGCCCCAGGGACCGACTGATCTGCCATGATTTCAATAGGCTTTGGATCAGGCACTTTCTAAGTGGCCGTATGAGCCTATCAATCGTCCCCTGATCTTTATCTTCTTCCCTTCACCCTGGTTTTTGGTCTGTTTATGGCCCTCACGTTACGCTCCGCGGGGCCAGGACCAAGCCTCACTTCCCAGAGGCATTTAGCACCCGGCCGGCTTGTGTGTCCAATCAATGTTCTAAAATTCCCTGTGAACAGCTGGGACCCCTGCCTTGCAAACCCAGCCGGCTGCGAGCATCCTTCTGCCCTTGGGGGTGGGGGAACAACCTCAACAGCGGGCGGACCCACGTTTGTCCTGTCTCAGACCCTCGGTCTGGCTGGCTCAGCTGACAAGTAAAAGGACAGGCTTTCCACCCATCAGCCCCACACCTTCCCCCAGGCTCGTAAGTACCACGCCACGCTCTGTGTGGTTTACGCGTCATCCCGCACGGAACCGAGGGGCTGAGCCAGAACTGAATCCGCCGGGTCCTGAAGCTGGGCTGGGCTAATGGGAATAGACAGACGCCAGCTGAGACGGCTCCGGGGGGCTAGCAGGGTAAGTACTCATCCGGATCACTAAAGGAGCTCTGATTCTACACGTGCACACACACACACGTGTGTACACACACACATCCCCACGTGTGCACACATTCGCACGCCGATGTCTGGATAAGAAGGGGCCATCAGTTGTCACTTTTCTGACCCCGGCCGCCTGGTAACACCCAGTAAGCAGGAGCTGGGCGAGGGAGAAGAGAGGAGTTGCCCCGGCAGATCAGACTGTCGGCTCGTCACGTCTGGCATCCCTGCCTCCGGCAATGGCCGAGACCTCACGCTCCAGACAAAGGAAATAAAAAACATTCCACGCTGCACCTGGCTGACTGTGCGGCGTGGAACGTGGGGAGGTCAGGAAGGAGGGAATTCCCTCCTGACCCCAGCAGGTGGTCACTCGCTGGCCTGAAACCTAAGATCTGCTTAACCATGTTACCTGAGCTCACATGGCTTCCATGCATGGGCCAGTGAACAGGACACGGGCTGGGAGGCAGAGAGTACAGGAGGAAGGATGGTCCAGTGATTAGGACACTAGCATGGGATTTGGGTCGGCTGGGCTCAACACCCTGCTCTGACACAGCCTCTCTGTGTGACCTCTGGGCGAGTCCCTTAGCTGCTCTGTGCCGCAGTTTCCCCATCTGTGCAATGGGGATAATAGCACCGCCCTGCCTCCCGGGGGATTGTGAGATACACGCATTGCAGACTGTGAGTTGCTCAGATAGATTATTCCTTGACTCACTGGGTATGCTTGAGCAAAGCGCTGGCCCTCTAGCTGTAAAGTGAGGGATGAAATGGCTGGAGCCCTATGGACACAGCAAGCCACATAAATAAACTGAGCAGGGGTTGGCGCTACTTCCTGCAGCAGTGAGTTCCACAGATTGACTGAAGTCCCCATGCTTCGGATTCCAGGTCTTTCTCTTCCCTACCCCACCATATCTAAACCTACAAAGAAGCCCAGGGACTGTCCCTCCTTACCGGCTGATCCAGCCTCCATGCACAGACCCCATCCTGCCTCAGTTCCTTCCTTTGAGGTGGAAGCTCCTTGCTTTACTTCTTCAGATGACCTCCTCTTCCTCTCAGCATCTGGGCTGTCCTGAGAGTCCCAGGACTTTTTAAGGCGTTCTCGCCTCCCTGCATAAAAATAGTAAGAGACAAAAGTCAATTGCTGTATAAGCCCTTTACCTCCACCTTAAATATTGCCCACGCCTCCAGGCAATTCTGGTTTTAAGGGTGGCTCTGTTCTTAAACCTAACACTGAACCCCTTAGGGACATTTTATAATCAAAGGACCAGCTGCATGAGGGAAGCATCGTTGCAAATGTGGGTGCAACATGGCTCTCTGCTGGAAAGAACTGGGAACTGCTTGCTGTGTGTCTTAGATGCCACACTGCAGTGAGGATTCTTCATTAGCTCAGGTGGCAGAGACCTATGCTTTCAGAGAAGGAGGATGCGATTGATAACCCTGAGGCTATTGTGAGGTTCCCAGTCATCTCAGGGGCAGCATTGCCAGCCCCCAAGCATTCAAACGCCAGGAGACAGGCCTTCAAAAAATCATGAGATTGAAAAAAAAATGAAGTCCGGGATCTTGTTATTTCCTTTCTGGGTTTAGAGCCTTTTGGGGGGGTGACATGTTCCAGCTTTTCTCTCCAACCATGAGGGTTAGGAAAGGTCTTTTCTTATTGAAATAAAAGCTGAGAGCTCATCATCACCTGACTCCAGGAGCTGCGGCTTTAAGGAAAACGACAAATCTCGCAAGACTCCCAATAAAATCCCAAGAACTGGTGCCTTGCCAGTGGCGGCTGCGATTATCAGAGGGAACGCGTCTATCCATAGTCACGCCTCTTAGCACAGCGGGTGTCGCTCAGTGAGGGAGGGTTTCAATGGGACGGGTGCTTACAAAGCGTGGGATTTTCACAGGAACCTATGGGAATCGGCCGCCCAAATCCCACTGAAGTGAGAGTTAGGACCGGACTCCCTTAATCTCCTTTGGAATTCCACACCTAAAATGCCATCGGTGAGTTCGGTGACCCGTGCCCCGGGGAACGAGAGGGTGCGAACGGGCATCACCAGGCTAGATCCCAGACCGTGAGTGAGATCTCTGAGACGGCAGAGCGGCTCTCCTAAGGAACCTTGAACAGCAGCTGGGAAATATCGAGCACAAGTGTCGCTCCAGTGCGGGGCCCCCCGGCAGACTGGATGGGACGGGCTCATCCCATCTCAAAAGTGGGCTTTATTGAGACACCTCCAGAGGGCTGGGGAGGACGGGTCTCCTGGGGACGGGACCGGCTTCTGACATACCCCAGCTCAAGAGCAGCTGCTCATGGATTGGTTGCCTCTTGTCGACGTCCCACAAGGTCGTCAGAAACGGGGGCCAGGGGCTAAGATCTCGTGTGCAGTCTCCACGGGCCAGTTCAACCCTCGGGGGGGGGGGGGGCAATTAGTGCCAACTACAGCCACCCTCACCAGCGCTCGGCTCCCCGGGAACGGGACCCACCCGACCTGTCCGAGAACCAGACTGTCGCTCCTGCTGGCTACTGCTGCTCCGGGCTGGTGTCCAACGGGTAACCTAGGGGGGTGGGCGCTGCAGCCCCTTCTCAACCCACTGAGCCATCCAGTCCCCTGCCCCAGAGCCGGGGCCCGTCAGGGACCGTGTTAGACAAAGGGGAGGTCCAAGGCAACCAAGAACCAAAGTTGGGGCTGCTGCTTTCCCAGATGGTCCCGTCCAGGGAGGGCAACGCACAAGCTCGGCTCTCCCCCCAGCCCTCCCCCCCAGCCTTTGAAATAAGGACTTTCTATTAGATCGAAATTCAGCACAACCCTGAGACTTTGCCCCCTGGTTCTACCCAGGAGGATCCACCCGCCCTGCGCCAGGATCCTGGGGGAAAGCCTGGCCCCTCCAGGCAGGATGCTGTCAGCCCGGGCTGGGGGCTTCTTTCTTGGCGCTCGCCTCTTGCGTTTTGTGGAAGGAATCTGGGTGGCTGGCAACACGCTGCAGCCAGTGGGACAAAGTCGGTCACCGCACAGCGGGAGCCAGCAGCCCAGAGCAAGCCGAGATGTACACAGACACACACACACACACAGACCCACTTCTGCTCCCGTGCACAGCGACGCGGACCCAATCCAGAGACACAGCGCACCCGGACACACCGCCTTGTACGCCCTGTGCCCCGTGTCCCCATTTCCCCCAGTGCAGCGTGGGGGGCTGCGACGCTCCCCAGGCGGAACGGCAGCTTGCACGCCCCCGGAGTTCCCTGCCCCTGCAGGGCCGAGGTCCCGTCCCCAGGCTGTGGGGGAGGACGGCTGCATGCTGTTCAACTGTCCTGATAAAGAATTCCCTCTGCAAAGACCGAACTGTTCCTTCCTCCACTTGGGGCCATTGCTCCTTACTCAGGCTAATTCCATCCTTCCCTGAAATGGCTCCCTTGGAGGTATTTATAAGCTTTGATCACTTCCCCTGAGACTCCAGCGCTCTCAGGACTAGGAGTTTAACCCCTTCCATCCCTCCTGTTACATTTCACCGCCCAGCCTTGAAATCGTCTTCCCGCACCTTGGGCCGAGGTGCCCCAGATGGGCCGGCACTGGGACTACCCCGCCCTTACATGTGACCCCTCTCTGCACCCATCCGTCTCCGAGTCAGTCCCTGGAGCACTTCCCCATAAGCTCTGCTCTGTTCACACGGTAGCATCACTGAAGCCAATAGGGTCCCTCTGGATTTTGTCCTGGGTCGGGGAGATCAGCATCGGTCCCCACAATGCGTTCGCTACCAACCCCCTAAGGTCTCGGGTGTATTGCATCCAGGGCGCTGTCCCTCTGCGCCTGTCCTCTGGCTGAGCGGTTGTGCATTCATCAGCACTGGATGCAGACTTGGGGCCCGATCCTGATCTCAGCGGCGCTGGTGTAACGCCGCTGTCACCCACGGGACTTGGGCGCAGGAGGGTGGGGTCAGGCCCTGGACTGCAGGTGAACATACTCCTCCCTCTAGTGAGTGTTGAGAGAGACAAGGTGGGAGAGGCAATATCCTTTATTGCAGTGGTTCTCAACCAGGGATGCGGGGCCCCCGGGGGGGGGGCAGGAGTAGGTTTCAAGGGGGCTGCCAAGCAGGGCCAGCATGAGACTCGCTGGGACCTAGGGCAGAAAGCTGAAGCCCCACTGCCTGGGGCTGAAGCCTGGGGCCCTGAGCCCTGCCACCCAGGCCTGAAGCTGAAGCCTGAGCAACTTAGCTTTGTGGGGGCCCCTGTGACGTGGGGCACTGGGCAGTTGCCCTGCTCCCTACCTCCTAACGCTGGCCCTGGCATTTAAGTACAGTTGTTGTGGCAGAGATGGGCAGTGGAGTTTTTAATAGTATCTTGGGGGGGCCCCAGAAAGAAAAAGGTTGAGAACCTAGGCTTTATTGAACCAACATCTGCTGGTGAGAGAGAGAAGGGTTCAGGTTGAAGAAGACGGAAGTTTTGTCTCTTTGACCAGCAGAAGCTGGATCCAAACGAAGAGATCACCTCACCCACCTCGTCTCTCTCAGATCCTGGGACTGGCACGGCAGACAACCGCCGGTTGTTGTCGCATGGTGGCACCTAGACACCCATCGCGCTGAGCACTGCGTGAACAGAGCAAGAGACAGTGCCTGCCCCGACAAGGACCAGACCGGGCAGGCTCTTAGCTTGCATCTCAATTGCTGCCACCTTCTCCTCTCTGGCCCGGACAGATGCCATCTGGCCTCGCTCAGAGACATTCACGAGGCTGTTGCAAAGATGGTTTTCCTGGCCTGTCGCTTGGCCCCTCTCTGCATCCCTCCACTGCTCCCTCTTCTCCATCGCATCAAACGTCGGCTACTTGCCTTCACTTTCAGGGCCCTTCCCGGCCCGGCCCCTCCCTCCCTAGCATCTCTCCTGCGCCATCGAGATGTCGACCCATGATCCCAGCTTCTGTTGCCCATGTGATGAGTGGGCAAACGATCCCCTTTGTACTTCCTCCCCTGCTGCTCCTCACCCCGATGGGGGAAGCTCCCTGTCAACATCCACAAAACGACCTCCTTCTAAACCCCCTCAAAACACTCCTTAGCCCGGGTGGGGCAGAGACTGGCTTTTTGTCCTGCGTGTGGTTCTTTTTCTGGTTGGGGGGGGGGGTCAGTGCTGGAAGGACTGAAAAAGTGGGGAGGGGGGGACAAGTTTGCTTCGGCCGCCCCTTTGTTATGGTGGAGGCAGGGCAAGGCCAAATCTGAGTGAATGGTGTTGCAACCTGGTGCATGAGGTCACAATGCCACATAAATTTGGCCCAGCCACCCCTATGTGGCCAAGCAAAGAAGTTTTGCTGGGGGGCCACCTGGCTGTGGGGGACCTGCTCCCCTCCTCCATTGTGCCCCTGCTGAGTTCATGTTCTCAGAAGGAGGAAGACAGTGTTCCTTTGGCTTCCCATCTCTGGCACCCAAGGGTGCAAGGGAATTCAGAATCCAGCCCCATTAGACAATTTCTCTTCCTGGGTCTTGTGCTGTTATGTTTAGGCTCCCAAAATGACTAGGGGCGGGGGGTGGGGGGGGAGTGCAACTGTTTCCATAACAACCACAAATGTTTTTGTTGTTATTTAAAATAAACCCCATGGTCACATTTCTATTTACATTCAACTCCCTATTTAAAAAGTCATCCATGTAAATCAACGCCCCAATCGTGGGGTTGACACTACACACTGCTGGCTCAGATGCTGTGGTCAGTTACTCTTGGCTAAAATCAGACCAGCTCCCCTGGGCCTCTGGCCGTCTCACTGCAAAAACAAGGTGCATTTTTATATTGAGTCAGCCGGGAATTTCACCACAAAACGATTGTTTGCTGAAAAACGTTGATTCACCAAAACCGAACCTGTCGGGAAGGGGCCCATTTCCACCAATTTCCCGACATGAAAAAACCTTGGGGAAAAATTTCAAAATCTCCCATTTTGCTGCTCTCGGAACAAACATTTGCGGTTGGGCGGTTCGAAATTGAACTTAATTTATACTAAAGAAAGGTTAAAAAGGGTCCAAATTGAAAGGAAACGTTTCAATCGACTCAAACCGAAAACGTTTTCCGTTTGTGCACATTGCTGAGATTTCGATTTCTCGTCCCGATTTGGGCTGGGAATATTTAAAAAAAACTCATGACACAGGGC